GAATTCGGCGCTCAGTTTCTTTCCAAGCAGCAAATGACTGTCACTATTTTCATGGGCATTTAACTTTTCAATTTTTTTTCACTCAGAGAATCCAACAAAAGACAACAAAAGCAGTATGCTGCTTTATATGGAGGTGAATACACCAACCAGGAACGATTGACCTCTTGTCCATTCATAGGCGTCGTTTGAACCAAAATACAGTCATAGAACGCCCATCTATGGCACCAAATGGACCTTCTTTATGTTGAAATTCATGTGCTCCAACTTTAACAATCTATGTGTGATGTGCATGTGTTACAACTGCTGAGCCTGTTGTATCAAACTTCATAAATCCAACATCCCTGTGTGTTAAAATATTTATTAGGTCATCCTCTTTTAGCTTAGCAATACTATTCTGTAGATTTGTTTCTGACAAAGTGGAATCCTCTTGTTTATTATTATTGTAGCTTTCAACAGTTTCTTCATTGTTTTATTTTTCAAATGAAATAGCATGTTCACAATCTTGCACTTTGACCCCTTTGCTGCCATCAAAAGGAACTGATGCTGGCTTGCTAGTGTCATCACTTCCAACAAGAATAAATCTCATCAATTTGCTTGACTCCACCATCGAAGCTGCAAATTGTGCACGTCTTTTGCGTCCCTGTGCCCCACTTTCTTTTCTCGACATAATGGGCTAAAAGAATAAATTAATAACTACTTACTACACTATTTAGTTGCAACATGCAAATTTTCAGATGAAAGGAAGCATTCTACTTTCCTAAGTTCCTAACCACAAATCATATTTAAATTATACAATTATAGTTGCAACTCAGGACTAGTTAGGCACATCTGGACCTGGTTTAACTTTAACTGACATTATTTAGACCACCCATACTCATGTTAATTAATGTGACACAACAGTATGAAAATCAATGCAGATGAGTGTATATGCTGGTAAGTCATGCTTATGAGCACCATTTACTTGCAATTGCTAAATCCCATTTAAAAACTCGATAGGTTTAACTACACGAATACTACAGGAGACAAGTCTGAAATTGCTTAAATGAAAATTACGCACACTGTGGAGAAGGGTGTAATCATAACACATTATAAGCCTAGAGGCTCAAAGGCTATATTTAATATTAAAGATTTTGATAGAATGAGAAAACTTAAATACAGGCTAACTAATTATTGGTGCTAGATTACAGTTCCTATATTACGTCACAAGTACATCTAGATCTAACATTAATGTTAGA